TATTATTTTAAATATTTTTATGATTTAAAATTTGTATATAATTATTTGAATGTTCACTATGAATTTTATTTTATATATTTTCATCGTTTGAGAAGTTTCAAACGTTAATGGATGACAATGGAATACGAGATTTTTTAAGAATATTAATTTTTATTTAAATCAAGAATTTTAGCTAAACTTGCTAACAAGATAATTACGAGGGATAAAAATCGACCTCAACTATATTTCATATCGCGAGCGAGTAGATAGATTATGATATTTTGAGAATAAAAAAATGATTGTTTACATTTATTTTAGATTTAATTAGAAGATATGCTCTATATAAAGGTCATTAATCACTGAGAAGACCTATAGATATTTTCCTACGAATTTAATCTTGTCGGAAACGATTGTCTCAAGCGTAACAAATAATTTCAAAACCAAATCTGCGCACGAAATAGTATATATTTATGATCATCATATGTAGGAAAAATTAAGTGTAAAATTGTACTATCATTTTAACAGAAGGTACTTTCGTTATATATTTTCTGTCAAAATTGTGTGTGTGTGTATATATATGTATGTATTTAGTAGTGCGCAGTGTTTAATGTAGGTAAAAAGTTTTTAGTATCATTATGTGCTTGTTATGGACTGGCTACTATTTTTTTTGACTGAAAAACTTTATTAATAAAACCAATGTAAGCAATGACCGATATTTGACGAATGTAGAAAGCGATCTATGTATAATGTATCATTTGTATGAAATATCTATGAAAGAAGCATGTCGAATGTGCTAAGATAAGCATGTAATGTTTGTAATACTCAGAATATGGAATGGATAAGATTATGGAATAGATTAAATTCTTAGAAATCATTTTTAGAAATGTACAAGATACGTATAAATAAGACTTATATATATAATGTATTCGCAATATAGGTGGTGTTCCAAATCTCAGGAACAGACTTCGTGAGGGCGTAGAACGAAATGAGGTGAATAAAAAAGTCTTGTATTATTTTGCAAACGACACGCAAAATTTCGAATTATTATTGAAAATAGCCATATAGGAGGGTTCTTTAATTAATAACTCCAAAATTTGCATGTATTTGCAAAACGACAAAGAAATGTTTGTTTAGAGTGACCTAATCTACAAGTATATGATAGCTGTTGCACCTAACGACAGACATCAATATATTAAAGTTTGAAACATGAACCTTGAACCTGTCGTTAGATACAACAGCTGTCATATACTTGTAGCCACTCTGAACAAAAGTCTTTTACCATTTTGCAAATAACACGCAAATTTTTTAATTATTAATTAAAAAAGCTTCTGTCATGACTATTTTCAATAATAATAAATTAATAACTCGACGTTTTATATGTTATTTGCAAAATGGTAAAGGATTTTTTTTGTTCACTTCCATCCATTCTGTGTCTTTATGTCTCTATTGGTCTGGGGCACCCTAAATATATATATATATATATATATGTGTATGTGTATATATATATATATATATATATATATATATA